AAAAAAAAAAAAAAAAAAAAAAAAAAACAGAACAAAACAAAACACATTAAACTTAAAAAACAACTCTTCAAACATATGCAGATGTATATAGAAAAATAAACACTGCAAATTTCAGCTTAAAAAATAAAACAGAAATAAGAATAATACCTAAAGATTGGTAAATGTGTTACTATTTCTAGAGCACTCAGAAAGAAATTTTAAGACCTTCTTTTAATGCCCTCTTTCTAGGAAAATAACATGCAGCCCCAGTAATCAGAAGGGCTGTTGTGAGCAACAAGACCAGGCAGAAACAGGAAGGCCCCAGCATCAACAGTCCAGGAAAGGCCCTTGACTTGTTCCCAGCCTACTCCACAGAAGTCAAGGGCAGGCTCCCTGTCCTCCTGTAGTCCTGGAAGCTCCAAAGACCCAGGAATCCCCACCCCAGATGTCCTTTAGGCTTGAATATTCACATCCCAGAAAGGCAAGTCCTGGTCCAGCAGATTCCAAGCCCCAGAGCAAAAGATCCCCCTCATACTCACATGACTTTTAAGTCCCAATCTCCACAGGTGACAAAAATTGACTTGACGTTTGGATCTAAGAGGCCTTCTTTTGCCATCCACTCATCGACCCTCTGAAACGTACACAAGAACAGATGATATTTTCTTTTTTTTTTTCCCCTCAGCCCATGAAAAGCCGTAACAGTGAAATGCAGATAAGCTGCTTGTAATCAGACCAGGAGAAAACTGTAATCTTATCCCACCATGGCTATGCTCTGAGCTTTCAGCCTTGGCTCGGAACTATGGAGGCACCTGGAGGACGATCCCTTCAGGAAGATGCCACAGCCTAAGTGTGTGGAAGGGAATCCCCTACAGCCTGCTGTCTAGCAGACTGCTCCAAGTCCCAGCAGCTCAACCCAAACACCTTGCTCCTCTCCCTCACTCGTCCTCAGACAAAGGCACAACCCAGCACAGACAGGCTGCTCTGGACCGTGAGAACAGGCTGGAAGGTGGCCTCGAGCAGTGACTACCATCCACAGCTTTATTCATTCATTTAGTCATTGCACCCTTCCACCAAATGTCTATTAATCAAGTTTATGAGTTTGGTTATTCATATAAAGGTGAGGAAATTTTCACCATCACAGGAGGGCCCTTTGGCCAGGCCAGAGCCCCACCCTGGCATATGGATAGTATTGCCTGCTGCAGCTAAGAGATTATAAACTGGCTCCCAACTTTGTATTTCTCCTTTTCTGGCTGAGGATTCAAATTCAGCAGAATATTTTGGAGGCTATATATAATTCCTGCACAGAGAAAAAAACTGTTGCTAAACACACTTTATGTCATTCTTTCCCTTCATCCCTCTGACCATATTTATTGTCTGCACCAATACTGGGAAGTACAAATACTAAAATCAGTATATAACAAGAGAATTAGCATAAAGAATTTATGAAGCACTGTCTATTTTTCAGAGGATCTCAGCATAGGGAAGTAGTGTAGCAGATCACAACACACCTTCTACTTACATAGGAAGATTATTTTTTAAGGCTGTATCATATTATAGCTAAAAATGCACAATTGAAAGTCAGACACACCTGGGTTCCAACATTTAGCTCCTCCATATCCTGGCTGTGTCACAGATAGGAAGTCATTTAAAAGTCATTTAACCCCTCTGAACCTCAGTTTCCTTCATCTATAAAACAGGGTAGGATGACTCACCTTACTGAGTTGTTCTGAAAATTAAATGTGATAATGTGTTAAGTGCCTACCACAAATAGACAGTAGGCTGGGAACAGGCAAAAGACAGACCATCATAAAACAATAATAGATGGAAAAATAGAGAAATGACGAGAGTGTTATAAGAACCAAGAAGAGGAAGGGCTACTACAGGTAGAAGCAAAGTTACAGGCATAATAATTCTGTATTTGAGAAGAAATTATTTAATATCTGCTTTCCCTATCAGACTACAAGCATCATAAATGCAGAAGCTCTTCCTCATTCACTGCCTTAATCCCTAACCCAGCATATACTTATTCAATGAGTATCTGCTCATTGACAGAATATGAATAGGTAAAAGTCAAGTGTAAGAAAATTCTTCAGAGCACAGAAAAGAGGAACCGGCACTGAATGAGGTTGGGGACTAGTTAAGGCAGACTGCAAAAGGCCTTGTGTGCTCAGCAGGTAATCTGTGGATATCTTTAAGTAAGATTATTTCTAATAGGTGTAGGATGGTTCCCCAGACACCTCTGAGATGCCACGTACTCCTCTGAGTAAAGCCAAGGAGCCCATCTCATTCCATGGCTCCAGGAGTCTAACCCCCAAACGTCAGCACTGTTCCCTAGTACCATACTGGGCTGAATGTGGTCTCTAAACTTTCTTCACAGTCTGTATACCAGAGAATCATCTTCAGCTCAAGAATCTCCCCAGCACTATGTCTGAGCCTTCCACTGCCAGTCTGCCTCCCCAGTCACTTGAGCTCAACCCTCTATAAGCATGCACTTGCAGACACACACAATCACATCCTTTCCCCAGGCTGCCTAAAGAAAATAATGCAGATTCTACACATGAAAAGAGGTAAGGTGAACACAGAGCTGCCTAAACCAACATAACTTTGGTGCAGCTCACCAAGATACTGCCTTATATGCTAGAGTTCCCAACTCCTACACAGTGGGAAAAGAGCAGGACAGAACAGGTCAGACGGTGATGATGAACTGTTTAGAGCGCCCAAACTGCAACCCAAAACCCACTTATTTATCGCAAAATGCCAGCACTATGATTAAACTTGAATACTGAAGTTTTAGTTTAGAAAAAGCAACTCATACATTAATATTTTTGTCTTAGAAGAAAAACAAACAATACGTATGTCACAGGTTCTCCACCACCAAGACCAGGCCTTCACAACAAGAAGCACTCATACAGCAGATATTTAGCGAGCACTTTTTTATTATGAGCCTGTCCAGGGGAGTAATACTACATTTGTAATCAGGCTTGTCCCTGCTTCTCTTCTCTGATTAAATGAATGAAGGCTCTTTAGCTCAATAACCAACTCAGGGCTAATGGGACCAGTCTGGTCTCCTGCCCTTGCTAAAAATACCTTTAGTTAGGCTGAAGCCAGAAATCTTCCCTCCTTACCCAGAAAGTACACAGAAGTAGCTTCCTGGGATGACTAAGAAAGACTACTCTCAGCAACATCCTGCTCCAGGGCCAGCCTGGAGTTAGCAGCAAGCTGTCTCCTACACTCCACATATCCTCCCCAACTGAGCCACAGAGAAAACATACATTACCTCAACAGCCCACCCACAGGGACCAGGCCCTAGCTGGGGATGCTGCTAGCTCATAAACAGGGAAGGATGGGCCCCTCTTTCTCCCTGAGTCTGGTTTAAGGGGGAGAAGCCTACACTGAGGAACTTCTTTGGTCATGGCAGAGGATCTCCCCTCAAAAAACAGCATCAATGGAGCTGAGAAGCACTCCAGACCTCACCCTCTCCCAGTCACTGGTCAGGCACCCTAACCCTGACCCAACAAGACACTGACAGAGCCTGGGCTTTCAAACTCCAGGGACAGGGAGTACATGCTACCACCTGCCTCTTGAACACTGCTCCATTCTGAAGGGTCTCAGGAAATTCAATCTGCACCTCACCCATAGGAAAGGAACCTTGGCTAAAGAGAGCCATCTGGGCCCTTCTGCCTGCTACTACTTATCTCTTTGAGGCTGCTTCCTTCAGATATATACTTGATCTCCTCCTGTGCACTGATAAGGTCTAGGCTTGGGGTTCACTGGTCTTAAAAATAAAGCACCTAATGAGATCCACAGACCTTTCTCTTCTCCCCCTACAGAGGGCTGCGGGGAGACCTTCCTTCTACTCAAAAGCCCCAGGCCAGAGAGGGTGGGAGACAGGCTGAGGCCAAACACTGCCTTTCCTTATTCCCTCAGGCCAGAGCACAAGAAGCAGCAACTTAACCTTTTCTAGCTCCCTGAGGAGAACATCCTAGAAGTGTGGTCTCTGCCAAGGGTTCTAAAGTCTTTAATTTGATTTCCCTCACATAGGCAATTGTTGTAATTATTCTGATTAAGAATCATTACCTAGTGCAGTCTCTGCCCCCTGACAGGCACAATGCATCCAGCAGCAAGCTGCAGTGGGGCCGGCGGGCCCAGCCACAGTTCCTAGAGGAGCTGACAGCAAACAAAAGCCATCGATGGGGAGTTCTGGGTGAGTTAATGAAGTGCTCACATGCCACAAGAAGCCAACAGTAAAGCTAAACAAAAACACCTCCAGTCCCTGGGGCCAGTCCCACAATGCCACAGCTCAGCTCCCTCTAGCCCCAGCCCACACAGCACAGGCTGCCCCAGAACTGGAGGCAAAGGGCTATGAGCCAGGCAAGGTGGGGGCCCTACGCTTGGCTCCCGGCAGCCCTCAGACCTCTTGTCAGTAACCCTGATGGGAACAGCTGGAGATGACAGATCAATGGTTCAATATTCTCAATAGCATGTCACTGATGTGACAGCAAATGTTATTCTAATCAAGCCATAATCATAGTCAAATTACACAGCTACATTCTCAAGAGGGGAGGGAGAGAAAGGCAGCAGGAAGGGGTCAGAGGTCAGGAATTAAAGGTTATTCAACCTACCTCTAGCACTTGCTGCAGGCTTGGCTGACCATCCACCATGGCTTGAATAATTCCAGTAAGCTGAGAAGAAAGAAAAACAGGCTTTGGGTGGAAAACCAGGATGCAGGGACTCAAAACTGGACTGGCTCCTTTCCCTTCTCTTTTTCAAGCGTAATGGGCTCTGGTCTGACACTGCTTCAGGCTCAGAGCCCTACTAGGAGCTTTGGACTAAAGTTCCAGAACACCAATGTGAACTCCCCGACAAAAGCCTGACCTGAGATATGGGTGCACATACATATGCCGACCTTGGCGTATGTATTATACCTGTTTTGGCTTTAATTTTGCAGAAAAAAGAAAAACTTACATGTCCTTTGTATTCAACAGGCTCAGAACTTTCCTACAAATTACAACTCCAGGCCTCACAGAAGTTCCTATAAAACTTGAGGAGAGTTAGCATAGTAAGGGGGCACTTGTTCTCAAGTTCATTCATCCCTAGGCCTGGATGTCCAGCATTTCCCCCGCACTACTGGTAACACCAGTGAAGTCTTGCGGGCATCTACCCTTCACTCTGCATACTTTGCCTCAATACCACATAGCCAAGCAAGAAAAAGTTACCGATAGCCAATGGAGAAACTAAGATGAAAAGGCCTACTGTGGCGCATCTGGCCTAAAGACTCTCTGACTCACAGGCCTAGGTCTGCCTAGGTCAGATCTAGATTCAAGTAAACTTGTTTTGTTTTTTTTTTGTTTTAAAAATATCCCTCTAGCACAGACTAGGGAAAGACTGACTACAAGGATTTGAGGCATGAGGCTCCCACGTCTCGGACACCAGCTAGAAATCACCATACCCAACAGGCCCTGGCTACTTCCAGAAAGAGCAGTATCTCAGGCTTGCTTGGAAACAACTTTTTTTTTCATTGTTAAGTAGAGAGGAAGGGGTTTAAAACTCCAATTAAACTATAATTACATTTAATGAATACCAAATACCCAACTCACAGAAACCGCCAGGTCTAAGAGGGAAGGTTATTTTCTCATAGTGACTTACATGGAATGGTAATACACACCTTTTAGGGAAGAAATTTTCATTTTAAGAACGCTGAGTTCCTCTAGGTGGGTTTCTGTAGTTCATCAAGTCATTATTAGGTGGTATTTTAAGGAAGTGTAAGGACACAGCCACTCTATTTTATATTCCAGAAACTGTTTTTATATTAATCTGTATTTTAATTGGGTAACAGCTGCTGCCTACAGACTTCCCATGGTCTAAAAGGAAAATAAATTAGAAAGATTAACTACACTGTTGTTTCACAAAGCTTTAACCCACAGCATGCCCACCCGCCTGGCACCTCCACACCCTTTCCTTGCATGGGAGACCAAAGAACTGCCCAGCAGAGGGAGGGCCTGAGTCAAGGAGACGAAAAGACTGGTGGGCTGAGGGCAGGGAGTGGGGCAGCACTGGGCAAATGCCCTGGGTCGGCAGCTTTAATCTTGGAGTGCCAAAGATTTCTCCTTTCATGTAGTCAACAACTATTCTCAGATAGCATACTGTGTGCTAGACCCTATTCTAGGAACCAGGGATCTGGCAGCTAAAAAAATATAAAAACTTTGTCTTCAGAGAATTTGTGTTCTGGGCAGGCCGCTCTTATATCCCGCCCAGCTAGTATCCAGAGCCTGAACACCTTCCAGAGCCACACACTGAGCAGGCAAGCAAATGCTGTTTTGTCTCAGGCACACAGGGTCCAAGGACAGTCAGGATTAGGCTTACTTTCAACTCTACATCTACTGCCCAAATTATGGACAGACACTCAGGCACCACCACTGTCCACTCTGGCTCAGCTTCTCTCCTGCTAAGTTCTTCCAGGACTTGGAAGACTAGGGCTTAGAGTCAGGACTACTGTGAAAAAGAAGGTTCACAGCTACTCTTACTTCTTAGCAAGTTCCAGAGTCCAAATGTCAGTCTCCTACCTAGTCTGATTTCCTGGGGCAAGGTCAGGTCGACTCCTTACGGTTCCTTCCAAGGGTAACTCAGATGAGGTACACCCTGAAGGGCTTCAAGAATGTCTCACTCACAGAGAACCAATGGCACCAGTTTTAAGAGCCCTGCTTCCTTGCAGAGAGAGCTTAGGTCAGCACCACAAGTACCTTCCCTGGGCCCCAGGAAAACTACAGATGAGGGGTGAGAAACTCATTATACCATAAAGGAAAACTGGCTACTCAGGTGTCCTGCTGCAGGACTCTCCACTCCAGGCCAGGCCCACTCTTCCCATCCTAGGGCACACCAACCTGGGCTTTCACAAACCCCATTAGCAGAGCCAGCAATCCCAGGATCACCAACCTGATAGGAACCTTGCAAGGCCAGTCCCTGCTCTGTCCGTGCTTCCAGAAAAGAGGCCAGGCTCAAAGTTGAGTTCCTAAAGAAGCTCGACCCTGAGACTTGGGGCTTTGAACACTGGCTCAGCTAGACACAGCCTTCTAGGGGAAAGTTCTATAACCCTCATCCCTCTAAAAATGAAACACTTCTTAACAGCTCTGGCAAGACACTAGATGAACAGGGGATAAAATTAAGAAAGTACCTTTATCTGATGCTTAGAACCTATAAGGCTTATATAAGAAGCTTTGAGAGAAAGAGACAGAGACAGACAGACAGAATTTCATAAAATACCAGGAAGTTCTGTTAGGCCTACCTTAAACCTTTCATACTACATTTTAAGACCCTTCCTATTTGTGCTAATATACATATATATATATATATTTTTTTTTTTAAAGCCTTCACATCCTCACAATGAAAGTCTAGAGCAAAGCCAAGTATTATTAAGCTGAGAACCAGAGCTCACAGGCTAAACAGAGCTCAGAGACCTTAACCACTTAAAGCGGGAGAGGTGAGAAGAAGAATTAATGTGTGCTCTGTGGCTCCTTTCACTGAGGGATTACAGATTAACTCCCACTTCTCCAGACTCGGAAACCACAAGGCGAGGGGCTTTTGACCCTGACTGATAACACTGCTGGGTACTGAGATCCCCTACCTACACACGGGCTTTGTCCAGGGACAAGCTGGCTTCATCATAAACACTAGCAACTAAAGGAAGCAGCCCTGGAAACTCAGTGCCAATAACGTGTCAGCATCCAGTGCTTTCTTCTTTCACAGTTTATCTCCAACACAATCGTATTCTGACACCAAGACAGTTTGTTGATTACATAAGCACTTGTCTCTGGTGCACAATCTGATAATCAGAACCACTCTTTCTCCTCAGACAAAGAGACCAATAAATCTCACCCTTTATAAGTACAGGTGCAAGACAAAGACCTTTACTGGCGTTTAGCAAGTGGGTATTTTTCTAGGTTTTCATGATAACAACAACAAAAAAGATTACACATGGTTAGGGACTATGCAGCAGCTTAGGTGCTACAGACAGATCTGATGGTCTGGAGCAAATTCTGGCGGTTGCAGGGAAAAGGCTTTGGAGGGAATGAAACACATCTCATCCTATATCTGCTAGAACCACGTCTTGGGAAGATTACCAACTGAATTTAGCAAGGCTCTTAAGAAAGCTAGTAATGTGTTCCATACCCAGAGCAGTAAAAGAAAGAATGTTTGTCTGTGAGCTGAAGACTCAAGGCAGAATCCTACTTCATATCATCCAGCACTAAGCTTATCTTTCTCCCCATAAAGCATGTGATTATTACATGTACATGTGTCATGTGCAAGTGTGTGTGTGCGTGCACAAGCATGCATGCACGTACACACACACAGAGGCTAGAATTCTTAAGAATGTCTTGTGTGCAATAAGCCAGGCACGGGGGCTCACACCTGTAATCCCAGCATTCTGGGCAGTTAAAGTGGGAGGACTGCAAGTTTGAGTCTCACATACGCAATTTAGCAAGACCTTGTCTCAAAATAAAAAACAAAAGTCACTCTTATCTTGCACACAAGAAAGAAAATCTTGCCAGAGGAGTTACATATAATCCAGAGGTTTGGAGTTGCTGTTCACACTTACTAATAAAATGACTCTCTCTGGTTGTAATGATCTCCGCTCTACCCCCAAAGGCAGCTATTAGCAGGTGGATGAGGTCTCAGAACAAGAGCCCCATTCTGTGCTCCTGCTTCTTTCTGTTACACAATTCTATCTGGTATGTATATAGGGTAATATTTAGATAGTCTGAGGTTTTCTATAGAGTATTTACTTACTTTAAAAGAGCAAGTCATCAGTACAGTTGTTATGGGGGTAGACAGGAATAAGTCCTTCACAATATTCATTCATGTAGAGAACATGCATCAAATGCGGACTTGGTAAGACCCGAATGATGGGGCAAAAATGGCTCAGGTCTAGTTTCTGCCGTTAGAGAAATCATAGTCCAGTAGGGAAACAAATAAATAACTAAAAGTATAAATATACCTGATCAGTGCAATGTTGGGGTAAACATAACCCAAGCTGGGGACGAGGGAAAGTTTCCCACGGAAGGTGACCCAAGTAGAATGCTAGAGGACAAGTAGGAACCAGGGGAAACAAGTAGGAGTAAGTAGTGTACAGGCAGAGGAACCACTACATGCAAAGATGGGTTGTAAGAAGACAGCCTTTGGGTGAGGAGAACTAGGTGAGAGATGAAGCAGAGAAGATATGAGGCTGGAGAAAAAGCAGGGACCCTGAAAGCCTCAGACAAAATGGCTGACCCAGTACCTACAACATAACCCTATCTTCACTTTGAGAAGAGTCTTCATAGCCAAGGTCCCAACCACTACTCCTATTATCCTCCAAATAATGTATGTATGTCGTTGGGTGAAACTACCTAGAAAAAAGAAACAATTTTCCTCATAGTGTCACAAATCTTCCTCCCCTACCCTGCCAAAGCAGCCAAACAGCAGCAGCCACCCTGTTCCAGAGGAAATCCCTCTCGTCCCAATACCCTAGAGCATCTACACCTAGAGTTGTGTTCCAGGAGCACTCTGTTTCATTCCTAAACAGGCAGTAATGTTTTCAGAACTTGAGCCTGAGCTGGGCTCAAGAATTACATGCCTGTAACCCTACCAACTCAGGAGGCTGAGGCAGGAGGACTGCCATGAGTTTGAGGCCAGCCTGGGCTACATAGTGAGTTCAAGGCCAGCCCTATACTACAAAGCCAGACCCTGCACCACCACCCGCAACAAACACTTGGGCCTGCTTGTCTATTCCAGGCAGCCTAGCTTCACAGGTAGCTAGAGCCCCCAAGTACAGGCCACTCACAGAGGATGAAGAGTAAGTAGGTCAAGAGGGCACCAGACTTTCAGGCCAGTGAAAGGCTCAGGTAGCTGACTAGTTTAAGGACTTCATGACCTTCCTGTAAGGAATGGGATTTTCTTCATCATTAAAATGGTAGTTTTGGGGCTAGGGATTTAGCTAAGTGGTGCCGTCACCTGTTTGGCAAGGTCAATTCCCCAGTACCAAAAAAATGGTAGTTTTTTGAAAGGGGCCAGATTAGCACCCCCTGGTGGCACAGGCAATTTCCAGAAGAGGGAAAACCAGGAGAGAAAAAGAGAAAACAATCTGAATATCACTAGTTAGAACAAAGCGCTTAAGAGACTAACACCTGGGCACATAGATACCAACAACAAAAGGCCCACCTGGCACAGGAGTAAACACTGCCACCAAGTGGAGGAGCAAACCTCAACACCTTCCTCCCGGGTGAGGCAGCCTCAGAGTCTACGGAGTCACATACCCATATCAGACAGTTAGTTCATTTCCCAGCCTCCTTCACACCAAGGAGATGGTGGGATTTCATTCACAGGTAAAAAAGGTAGCTCTCTAAATGAAGGCACAACATTTCTAATGCACATCAGTCGCAACAGAAACACTCATGTTTTCCCATCACCTCTGCTAGCACATATGCTTAACCTGTGATTTTACTACAGAATGAATAATGTGATATATCACATGGGAAAGCAGTCATAGAAGCTTCTCCACACAATCCTGGGATTCACAACTTTTAGTGGCTCTTTCCCTCTGCCAATGGCTCTTTTGAACCTCCAGCACTATCAAAATCTCAGTCCTACTTTCACAATCTATAGAATGGGATCTGTACTTATCTACTGACAAAATAGCCAAGTAGAACATTAGCCAAGTAAGGGCAAGTCTGCCTTGCCCAGCCTGTCTTCTCTTTCATCAGTGTCAGAATGTGCTTCTTACTAACTTAATCTATGCTCCACACAGGACCATCCTGTTCCTAGACTCCAACTGCCCAGTGTGACCAGGAAAGGCAGACATGGTACTGGAGGAAAATATCAGAGAAGCTAGAAGAGACTGTACACCACTGCTCCCCCTGGGTCCCCAGGGACCAAAATGACTCAAGTAGGGTCACAGACTGTAAGAAAACAAACTACCAGACCTGAAGTTAACTTGTCTTAACCACTGATTAGCCCTAAGATTTCGCTAAGGGAGCTGGAAATAGAGCATCAGTGATCCCAAAGCTTCTCTCCCAACAGCCCCTGGTGCCTACCTCCAGGACCCTTACCTCTGTACAGAATGGGGTAAGCTGTGGATGGACTACAGGCTGGACGTACATGTGAAAAGTAGACTCAATCTCCATGGTCCGGCCATTTAGCTTCAGGATGGGGAATTCAATGATTTCCTGGAATGTCAAAGACACAGAAAAGGAAGTAAGTTACTTTAATCAATTATTTGGAACAATAACTTCATTTCAAAAAAGAATGACTGTTTGGACTCATTACTCTTGCCAGGTCAAATCCAAGACCAAGCAAGATGGTGCTAGTACAGTTAGAATCCTAACCTTTCCACTGCTAAAAGCCACACAGGCTCCAAAAGCTGGACACAACTCTTATCCCCACTGTTTCTGGAAAGGAGAAGGAAGACAGTGGTGTACTCTGTCCCAGTTTCCTCAGTGGGTTCTCTATCACAAGCCCATTTGAGCCCCTTAAAAGGGGACCTTTTTCCACTTACTCAGGACCCTGTCCTGGAATGGGTTTGGAATTCCAGCCATCAGACCAGTGCATAGATTTCCTTGTAGGAAGTTTAAACAGAGCCAGTGTTTATTTACTAGTTTTTACAAAGAGGAAAAAAATGTGATAATAAAGCCAAAGAGAAGGAGAAAACTGAACACAAGTAATAGGAGCTAGTGCCTCCTACCTCTTTCAGGCAGTACCCACCCTCCTCCCCCTCCCCGCCCAATCGCTTAGCCAGCCCTTCCCAGTCCACTGGAACGTAATGGAAGAGGAGGAGGAGGAGTGACAATTTGTTTGGTGTCTCTAAGATTAATTTGTCTCCGTTATTTAATAGAGATGCACAGCACCAAGGTCCTGGTGTGCAAACAGGCTTGCAGAACGCTAGCTGCGCAGCACGCCTCATACATCGCTCCTGGGAAGGGAGGGAGGGACACACCAGGGAGGGGAGAGGGCAAGAGAGAGCACACGCATACCAGAGAGAAGAGGGAAAACAAGAAGAGAGAAGAAAAAAAATATTGCTTTTTAATATTCAAAAACAGTTTGCAAAATTTAATCAAAGCAGAGGAAAAGCTAACATTTTTACCACTTTGACATTTTTATTAGCACTTTCATAAATTTTTAAAACATGAATGGAATTAGTTTACAACACAAAAAAAGTGCCCTGAAAACATCTGGAAGAGACAAATAGGAAATAATAAAAAATAAATAAATAAAAGCAAAATCCTCCCAAGTAAAATTAGTATGTGAAAAGGCTCCCACTGCAGAGAAAGAAGGGGGGACTTTGCCCACTCAGTGGCCCCATCAGTCCGCTCCAGTAGCATCCCTACCCTAGTTCCCTGTTCTAGAGGAGACCTTTCCAGAATCAGTAAAATCAAGGCAAATTGGTTCTCTGCAAAGACAGCCTGGAGAAATAACACCGTAGCTGATGACACCTGACTATAATGAGGAAATGAATGGGTGGAAAAACAAAAGAAGAAGTAGTTAATCTCACATTCTGGGGAAGCCAGATATTCCTCCTCCCCCTCACCTAGCCAACACACCTACAAATACTGAGCTTATTTTAAAAGCATCTATTTCACCCCAATACATAACAGCAGGACTGAAAACCAAGTCAAGGCAGGCAGGTTTCATACCAGAGAAATTCAAAGGCTCTGGTTGCCTTATCTCCCTGGGCTGATCCCCCAAGATGAGGAAGCTGACAGGAACTTATTGCCAGATAAATGAAGGGCAAAATGGCTGCAAGGCTGAGGGAGAGGGGAAATGGAGAGGAGGCCCAGGCTGCTGCTTAGACTAGGTGATACCTCTCCTCTCAAAGCAAAGAGAGGAAGACACTTATTCTTCACTTTGCTAAGCATTTTATTCCCTATAAGCATTACAAAGCAGGCCAAGCAAAGGGGAGTTTTGTTCTGAGAAACAAATCTGAGCACATACAGCATATGCATTGTTCCTCCTAAAATGCTAGAAAGACAAGATTTCTGAGGTGGGTTTTATCAGAGTCAGGATCATTTGACTCCCAAATTTCTGACAAATCCTTCCTCCCCCATTAACTAGGAAAAACATTTCCCCCAAAAGAAAGAGCTCCATAGCCTGGTGAGTTTGGCTGCCCTGGTGTCTAAGGAAACAAATATAGCCAGTTCCTCACTAACATTGTTAGCTGAGCCCACAATGAAATTTAACCTGTGACACAACTGTACTTTTCATTTAAACTTTCATTTGGGGAGAAGCAGTGTTTGGAGACCTGCAGTTTGTCCTGCTAATAAAGACAAGTGTTGGGACCTTTAAGGATGCCATTCATCTTTGGCTTTTATTAAATTCAATTTTCTTAAGCCCATGATACATTATGAAATTAGAAGTTGACATTCCTCTGGAAACAAAAATATCTATCAAACATAAATAGGAAAAAACCCTCTATTACCAAGAATTTATGGCTTAAAGTTGATCTATTTCCACTTTTTTACAAGCACATGGTTTGTTTTAGATATCTGAAATGCTATTATAGATCTGGAATTTCATTAGTATTTATTATAAAATAGTGCGCGTTCAGCTCCTGCTCTGACCAGCACCAAGTCAGCATGCCCCAGCAGGGTCTGGAAACTTGGCCTTTGGATTTCCCCACTGCAGTTTAGTATTTAAACTTTCCTGCTGCTGCCCTCCTCACCATCAGGCAGATGAAGCCAAACTAAGTGTTCAAACTCAATGTCTTCCTTGTTGCAGAGATGAAGAACAAGCCAGCCTCAGATCCATGTAAAAAAGGCACAGACAACCCACCTCCCAGAGGCTTGGATGCAAGGCACTGTACACATCAGACTGGGCTGACCATAAACATACCTCTTCAATGTTGCTAGTCCATTACCCAGGCCTACTCCCCAATACCAGGAAGAGGGACTTTCAAGAGCCAGTCTCAACACATGACTCTGGAGGAGCCCTTCTTAGGCAGCATTGGGAGATACTATAAGGACTCTCACATTAATGGCTCAGACAATGAAACATTACCCTGCCCTTCACCCTTTCCCTCATCCAATTTCATTATTCGCCTAGGAAAAAGTTTTTCACAAGCAGTTGAGTGCTATGGCAATCATAGTGCCAGAAAAGAAAAATGAACCTGTATGTATTTAAAAGCCTTCCATCTGCCCCTAATAATACTTTTGCACTGGAACAACTTCATGTGGGACTATCTTACAGGTGTTAGAGTGGAATGCAGAGATAAGAGCACTCTCTGTGCTTTGGAGAAGTACAAGCACTAGTGAGTGGAAAAGATGCATGAACTAGTAATGAACGCTGTAGTATGATAAATACCTTCGTGGAGAGACATTCAAAGTGTTATACATTTTTACTTACAAAAGTATGTTTTTGGCAGCATATGGATGCACATGCCTACAATACCAGCAGTCTAGGATCCTGAAGCAAAGACAATCACAAGTTCAAGTCCAGCCTAGGCATCTTAACTATTTAAGTGAGATCCTATCCCAAAATGTTTAAAGGGTGGGGGGGAGCTGAGCATGATGTAGCTCAGTGGGAAGGTCCTGGATTCAATCCCAAGTACTGCCAAAAAAGACTGTGCTTTTACATACATTCCTATTCTACCCTTATTAATCCTAGGAGATAGGTCATATCATTATCACCATCAGCCTATAAACCAATACCATTATGCATCTACATTTTACCAAGCAAGAGATGGGTGTGGAAACATATGAACACAATGAGATGTACCGCCTCTCTCTAAGATGTTCAGTCTGGGAAAAGAGAAGAGTTGATCTCCAACACTGTCCAGCACGTGAAGAATGAAATAATTTCTGTTCCACTTACTGTTTACTCTGTGGCAGATACAGTGCTAACAGGAATGACCTTACTTAATCCTCCACACGACTCATGAGGTTGAGAATTATTACTACCTCACTTCACAAATAACAAAGAAGGTAAGCCATTTGTTTATGATTATACTGCCGGTAAGTGACAGCACTGGGACTTCAAATGGGGAAAAAGCATAGTACTAGCAGCATTTAAAGTCCGAAGGGTCATAAAAACTCTGATTCTCTTATTTCCGAAAGGCTATCCTGTAGAGAACTCAGCCCACTATCTCCTAGAAAGAGAAGTATCTCTCAAACTGTAACAGCAATTTATGTGGACTCCCCAGGCAGAAAGTCCTACTTTGGATTACTACTGAAAAGCCTCCAATATGGCTGCAGCAGCACAGATGGCACTAGGCTATGCACTCAGGGAGGCAGAACCTCAGGCCTTCAGTTTGCCTCTCTGGCACCTAGCTCCCATTTAGGCACACAATTCTCACTTTTGACTTTTGTTGCACAAACATATGAACAATCTAATAAGTAGAAGATCGAAAAAAGTGCTTGGCTCAAATAGAAAATAGTCTGCTTTCAGGGGACCTTCCACAGGATCAAGCAGGTGATCTATATAAGATGATAAAGATAGCAGAGAGCAGAGCCAGGATTCAGTTCCAGATACATAATACTCCAAAACACTGTCTCCTAGATTCACAGATCCATCCACTTTCTCATCCCCAACTGGGTTTCTCCCTCGTCGACTCCAAATCACTAGTGTTACAAATCCTAGTGTTACCTAGTTTAACCAAATGTCCGGTTTGCCTGGGATCAAAGATATCTGGGAACACAGGATTTTCAGTATTAAAATTGAAACAGCTGGTTACCCTACATCATTCACAAACTACCTATGCCATTAAGTTCTCCAAGGGGAGAACAACATAAATCCAGGAAGATTATCTGCTGATGGTAGATGTACTATAAACCTCAGAATCTAGATTTGTTAAAGTATCCAATGTTTCTCAGCTTACTGTTAACTACTGTCTCTTTCAACAAAATGCCAGCTGCAAAAGCTTTTTCCCTTGATATGACAGACAAATAAAAAGGAAGCATCAAGCAAATATACATTTATCTTTACCTCTGTAAGTGAGTTGGAGCAGAGACTTTAAACCCAACTGCTTTAAAATGGCTCAACTAGGAAACTCAGTGATAAACTGAGGGCAAAAATGCAACAGCATTTCAAATGAAATCCCATAACCACTGTGAGTAGATGACAACAAATAATTGTGTAAGTTGTTTTCAGGATATTCATACTCCCTTCAACCAAATCGTCTGCGTGAAAAGATTATATTTGAAGACAGAAAAATAACAACAAAAGGGCTATAAGCAGG